GTGCAGATAATACTTACCAAAGTTTGTTCCGAATGATAAGAAGGGCTCTCCTACTGTTCATAACGACGCTCATAATTCGCTTTCCACTCTCACTATGTTGGGCCAAACTAAGACTATTTTAATTAAGTGTGCCCAGCTTTGATCCCAAATTCCTTTAGAACAAAGAGATCTCAAATAGATTCTCCCACTAATTATCATTATCTCACTAATTGATAGGACATATCGTTTGTATTAATTGTTCCATCAACTTCGAAACACATTTCGGGGATGGTTCAACAAAGTCATCAACAATAGAACAGTTCCCTAAAATCCGTCACTGACCAGTGAAGAAAGCTGTAAACCTCTGTGTCGGACACATTGACTACAGCTGCTCGAACACTTTTACTGTAGTAAACAAATATCTCTGTTAAAGTGATTTATCCAAGTATATCCGGCTCGTACCATATGGCATTATGCCCAAAACAACATTTCAACCTCAGCATTTAGCCATTATTGAATAATTGAATTCTCACTCCCGATCATCCTCCGTTGGGAAGACCATCGATCCGTTTTGATACCTCCAGTTAGCTTGCTTATTTGATTCTCATTCTGCTCATATGCTTATCCCTCCCGAATAGTCTCCTCAATCAAAACAAACCTTGAGCGACCATGCACAAAAACATGAACCTGTATCTGATTAATCTCTTTATTACTGACAAAACAACTAAGAGCACTCTCTATTATTGGATCTTCTTCTCCACTTTCTTACCAAAATTCGGTGACCCAATCTAGATCCATGCTCCCACAGCGGATGCTAACACTCGATGTGTATCCACCGGCAATCAATGGACCAAACAGCATTTGCATACGAAGGAAGTCGTTTATTTCTCAACATCAACACCACAATTTTGTTTATCTGGAGCGAAAGTACATCTCATAGATTCCACTTCTACTAATATTCCCTCCTAAATCCCGTCTCGACTTCTAGGTCGTGAAAAGCATCGAGCTGGTCGGAGCCCGAGTGGATGCAACACAATCCAATGAGCCCCAGTTTATCAGCCGTGAATGATAGCTCAGCATCTCGTGTTCAATGAAAAGTACATCCGCAATATACAGTCACACTTTCTGTCTGAACTGATGCAGACTGAAGAATCCACCAATTCCTTTACCTGCTGCTCAGCCCTATGACCAACCTTACCGACACATGCTTTATCAATCGGACTCATAAATTGAGGAAGTATATATACTCTTTTCAATATTTTCTGGCGGTTGGAAGAACCCTGTCGCCGTCCTACCTACACAGAAACCTGACCTAACGTCCCCAAAATGCCCCCCTTGAGTTTACCCTTTGAGGTAATGTCTTCTTGTTCGTACCAAAGAATCCAAATCGCACTATTTTTCATGATTCGCGCGCGCAAAAAGCGCACAATCTTATTCCTCCACATCACATTTAAGTTTATTGACATATCATCTCGTATTCAAGACTAACATGATCCCTCTTTCTCGTTGAAAACGTGCGGCCCAATTACCCTCTATAGCCACCTATCTCTAAACATACTTAACATCACCTAAACTATGGTCAGAGATATGAGGCAGAAAGATATGAGAGGGCGAGTCCCTCCTAATCTCTATAACAGGGGGATGAAATTCCCTCTTAAACGGGGATTAGACGCGAAAGACGCCTCCTTCATGATTTGTCTCGCCAACTTGACTCAACCACTCTGCACGCGACCCATCATATCCATACACTCCCAACGCGACCGTCTGTCTCACTGTCGGATTTCTCCGAGCCAACCGCGGCGAGACCATACTCCCACCTGCAGGCTAACACCTATAAGAGCACACTATTCCCTCTCGCTATCTCAACTCGATTCACAAACAACCCCAAACCCAGTACACTATAGAAGATCATGCGGTTTCAGACATCCAACTGGCACCAAGCGCGCACTTGAGAGTCACTTGGGAGCTGATATCCCACGGAGAAGGCCTGAGCGCTACTTTCGAGCGGTCGCTCTGAGTTCTCCCTTGTGCTGTGATGATCGCTACTCACGCTCCCGCTAAGACAGATGCGATGTGTGTCCTGCTCGGCTCCGGTACCCGACTAACACACATTGAAGCTAGCCCTAGAGAGAGCTCCCGCTGGGACCAGCACAGCTTCGATGGAGAGCGTCTCCTCACCTCCACCGGTGTGAAGGCCACAGCTCGGGACGCGCCTCCACCTCGCGTTTATTATCGAAGAGTCAACTAACTGGACCATCCATTGCCTGAAGAAGTGCTGCCGATCCAAACAAATGTCAGTATTAACAGCATTTGATTTCTTCCAGGCATTTGACGCAGCCGACATCTCCTCCTTTCTCCTTCGTTAATCTTCGTGACACGCACCTGGAGCTTTCCTGGTTGATTGAAGAAACTCGTGCATTGAGGCACTTACCACAGAACAGCTGGATGATGGGCCTCCCTCCTTGGTGCCGAAAGAACCAGGTACAATCAACATCGACAAATGCCACCGCCTATTCTGCTGAGGCATTAGTTCACGCTCAGAACAATCCACCAAAATACCAAAATTTAACACACGGGCTAGCCCGTTCAAACATTCATACTGAATTGATTCAACATGCGATAAACTGAAGGCCTTACGAAAGATCTTGCAAGCTACTCATTCTCCAAACGTAAAGCAAGAGGTTTTTCCTGTTCGCAAAAATGGGATTATCCGATATTTTTTAACTCACCTTCAATCGTCCAGCCAGGAGCCAGACGCAGACCGTCTCATGACAGTCCGCACTTCAATCTGCCCAGTGAGTCAAGAGTGCCAACCTCGCGTGGTATCACAATTGAGATCAGCCCCAAGTTTCCATCAAAGGAACGATCACTTCCACCAGTAAACAATCACCTCCTGCATAGCCTCTCCTGCATACTCTCTTACTGGTGCGATTATCCCTTCCTCCAAACTGATCTACAACTCCCATATAACTCATTGGGAAATCTTCCGCCTCAGAGCCCCCCCAAGAATCTCCATCACCTCCATTACGATCAACAGACCTCTGCATTGGCACATCCCTACCTCCATTCCCAGATCTCCAGCTAGGAAACTCCCTCTCCAAGCTCAGCAGAAGGAACCACCTCCTTCCCAGCAACTATACCTTTCATTCAGATTCCCCCGATCTCGAAGAATCCAGCTCTACTCGGAGGTCTAGCACACGACCTCCAAGAACCAGACGATGACAGCTCCTTCACTACCCTGCTCCATACTTTACCTCCCACACATTCCCCCCCAATTTGCCATTCTTCACTCCATCTCCCCGACTAGAAACCACCTCCAGCCTATTCTTCCCTTCCACGAATCTCCTTTCCATCCCACCGCTCCTCGTCGAAGGGCTGACAGGATGACCGCAGGTCACCCCCCACCATAATCACGAATGAGCCCCGTCCAACACCGGCGACCAAGATCTCGAGCCAGGAGAGACTCCCCTCGATCGGCGTCGCACGGAGAAATCCCCGAAGAGACAATGTGAAAGAGAGAGAAGAGAGACGAGAGCAAGTCAATTCCCAAGAGAGCTTCTCTCTTAAACCACTCTATGAGAGAAGAAAAAATTTAAAAATTAAGAGGCATAAAAGAGAAAGTGGAGAGGGGAGATGGAAGAACGGGGAGGGGAGGGCCAGTGAGGGTGTGGGAGAGGGAGATTGGACGAGAGGAGAGAGGGAGAGAGACGAGAGGAGAGGAAAGGGGAGAGGAGAGAGAGAGAAGAGAGAGAGAGAGAGACGAAGAGCAGAGGTAGGAACGGGGAGAGAGGGAGACGGGAGAGGGAGAGGGGAGAAAGAGAGAGAGAGAGAGAAGAGGAGAGAGAGAGAGAAGAGAGAGAGAGAGGAGAGGGTGGTGTGTGGGAGAGGAGAGGGATGAGAGAGTAGGATGAGTGAGAGGGTAGTGGAGAGAGGGGAGATGGGAGAGGGGAGAGAGGGACGGCAGGAGGGTAAAGAAGGAGAAGGTAGAGAGAGAGAGAGAGAGGAGAGAGAGAGGAGAGGGAGAGGGAGAGGGAGGAGAGGGTGAGGGTTGTGTGTATGTGTGTTGAAGAGAGAGAGAGAGAGGGAGAGATGAGAGAGAGAGGAGAGGCGAGAGAGAGGGAGAGGGAGGCGAGAGGGAGAGGGAGAGAGAGAGAGAGCTAATATTGCATTTAGCATTACCAAGGAAATAAAAAGTCGTTACAAGCATAGAATAAATAAAAAGAGCTACCACGTCGTTCACTTCCACCCTCAACAAAGACAGTAGAGAAGAAGGGGAATCTTCTTAGTGAGTCCTTATACAAAAAATTACCCAAAATAGCCAAATGAGCCAGTTAATCCGCCGGCGATTACTGTTCCCGGAGGATGATGTTGGAACAAAACTTGATTTAAAGTTAAGCATTGAAGGAGATGTCTAGTTCCCTCAGACATCCACGATGGTGTCCAAGGCCGCCAATTCCCCCCAAGCGCTGCATCCAACGAACCCGCATTAGAGCAGTGGCTTCCCTCTCTCTCTCTCTCCCTCTCCTCTCTCTCTCCTCCCCCATCTCTCTCTCCTCTCTCTTCTCCCTCTCTCTCTCCCCTCTCCCTCTCCTTCTCTCTCTCTCTCTCCCTCTCTCTCTCTCTCCCTCCCTCTCCCTCTCTCTCTCTCTATCGCTCATTTCCCCCTTTTTTCTCTCTCTTGTTTTTTTTTTCTAGAGAGAGAGGCTCTGGGTATGGCGGGAAGTGACCGAAGGTCACTGTTTCGTCCGTATGGGGGCGGAGGCGATTGTACGGAGGGAGAGGATCGTAGGCGTAGCATTGGTGGAGGAGGGGCTGTGAAGAAGCTCGGAGATCGTTCTCCTAGCAAACCGACGGGAGGCAAGGGAAGGAAAGGCTAGTGAAGGAGGTAGAAATGGATCGGACGGATTCCAGGAGGGCCGTTGGGAGGCTAAATCCAGGGGTAAGGCTTCCAAAGGAGCGGCATCGCCGGCTAAGGACGGAACTGGCCCGTCTCCTGCTGGGGACATTTTGGAGGTAAGTCAACCTTCGCCTTTGGGGGGTGGGGGGGGGCTGCGGATAAAAAGATGGGAGTGAAGGTTTCACTTGATCCGATCTTTGTTGCTAATGGGACATCCATGGAGGTCGAGGGGCCTAATCCGGTGGTGGATGATTGGGAGGATATGGAGGAGGCCTTTGATGTGGATGCCAAAAATGGCAGGGAGCTCGGGACTGCTGGCGGTGAGCCCGGAAGTTGCTGAATGGTGCAACAAGATGGAGGAGAATACAGGTGTTGAGGGGAGCGATGTGGCTATGAAGGATGATGAGGCAGTCAATGTATCTATTGGGTGTGAAAGTGCTGATACCACCCTGGTGCCGATGGAAACCCGAACAGAGGGCACGCAACCTGTTTGTAGAAATGTTGAGGCTGCTGGAGAGGCTGGATGTGTCGAGATGGGCAGCAGGAAATGTACGACGGTGGGTAATCCGTTCTCGGCTTTAGTTGGAAATCCTTGGAAGAAGCCGGAACACATCCCGATCCTCCATCCCGAAAAGCTTGATGCCTTCGCGGAAGATGGTACTACGATCAACCTCAACCTGGATCGTATCAAGGCCAATATGGACATGCTGGATCGTGCGGTAGTGGGGAAGATAATTGGTAGAAGCACGTCGTTCTTCGCTCTGAAATCGGAATTACAATGGAAATGGGGCCGTTTTGGTGAATTCCAGATCACTATGCTTGGTCATGGCTATTTTGTCTGCATCCTTACCACGGTGGAGGCGAGGGATGCTGTGTTGAGCGGTGGGGTCCTTGGTTTATTGGTGGCAGCTTGGTGGGCCTTGATAGGTGGTCGCCGGATTTTTCCCCAGCTTCGATGGAGGGGCTGTCGTCCCCGGTGTGGATTAGAATGCCTAATCTACCTCTACAATATTAGGATGAGTGTAATATTGCGAGGATTGCCTCCAGATTTGGTACTTAGTTATGGATCGATGCGCATACTGGAAGCTGGGGACGCCGAGATATGCTTGGGTTTGTGTAAGGGTGAACTTAACCAACAAGTTGCTCGCGGGAGCATGGGTCAACGGATGGAAAGGGAAATTCTACCAACCAGTAGAGTATGAGGGTATCGGCCTTATGTGCTATGGGTGTGGAAAAGTGGGACACAGGCGGGAACATTGCCCCTACAAGCCGAACAGCATCGGAATTACGGGCCCGAGCAGTCCTGGGGAAAAGCCGTCAGCTCGAACTCTGGTCGGGAGATGTAATGCTCTCCCTCCTATACCGTGTACTGGGGAGCTTTTGACTACCCCTAAGCCTGGCCCTACAACGGCATTTATGGATGGAGGTGACCCTCCCCCGACTAGTGGTAGTTCGGGCAGCAGTGGGCATGGGGTGCCCCCCCCCCCCCCCCCCGTGCACCCCCCCCCCCCCCCGGCTTCGTCCAGTGCGGGTATGGACCCCTGTGTGGGAGCCCGTGATGAAGAGGTGGCGGTTGGACCCTGGATTCAAGTCCCTCCTAGGCGTAGGAGGTCCTCCCGTGCCCCGGGCACGGCTGGTCATAGCAGTATCCCCAAGGCCAAGCCTATTGCTACTAGGCAAGTTGATCTGAGTAAGGTGAGCCTCCCTCAAAGCAAGGTACGGCCTACTCAAGTGCAGAAACGAATGGGTTTTAAAAAACCGCTTCCTTTTACGGTTGGAATACGATCGGATAATTCCACGGTGAATAGGTTCTCGTTTGACAAGGAGCTGAGCCTATTCAATTTGCCGGTGGAGCTTCCACGAAAGAGGAAAAAGGAGATGGGGGACACAGATGGCGGCGGGGATGCTTCCCCTTCGGTTATTTAATGTCCACGGCCCTCATCTGGAACTGCAGGGGAGCCCGTAAGAAATAAACGGGCTACCACTTGCGAAGCCTCGTTAGTAATAAAGAGGTTTATTTTGTTGGGTTGACTGAAACTATGATTGAGGAAGTCAATAGATCCGAGGTGGACAGGATTATTGGGAAAAACTGGGAATTCCTCCATGTTCCGGCTAATGGTCGTTCGGGGGGATTTCTTGCGATATGGAAACGGGATGTTGTTCAATTTGAAGTTTGCTCGATGTCAAATCAGGTGTTTATTGGGTGGCTAACCCTCCCAAATGGTCAAAGGTGGTTGGTTGCGGTAGTGTATGCCAATAAGGACTACCATTCTCGGCGGGCTCTCTGGAACGATATTGGCTCGCTGATCAACTCTGAAGACCTGTTGGTGGAATTTTGAAAACATATTTAAAAATATTAGTTTTCTTTGGGACTTAAAATTGAATTCTAAATCGAATTGTCTCGTTAGAAAAAAGTATATCACCTCGAGAGGTGAAAAATAAAATATTCATAACGGTAATAGATCTTAGAATTATAAAATTCATCTTGAATATCTGTGACCGGATGCTAAAGAAACTTCATATGGCCCCGAAGGGTCAAAAGAGGATTCAACTGAAATATCCAGCTACAATATTCAAGAAGTGTGAATCGTTAGGTTCACATTCCAAGCCTTATCAAGAATGATGTATTCTCGAAGGGGAAAATATCAGTCGATGAATATTCTTTGAATATGAAACAATGAATCGCACTAAGATATTTATAGCTTTTCCCAAAGAAATCCAATTGATTTTTGAAAAATCAAAGTTCTAAAAAATCAGTCGCATTTGTTGTCGGGGTTGTGGCTGTTCTAAATCTTAGAGCGCAAAGCCCTCGTAGTTAATTACATCGTAGAAAAACAAGGGTCTCTATGAAATACTCTCGAATAAATAACGTACAAATCTTTGTTAGATTTTTCTAAGGAGTGATATCAAAACGAGAAGGAATTTTGGGAAACTCAAAGAGAATGGTGACAAAATGACATCTTATTAACAGAATCAAATAGAGAAGAGTAGGGGATCACTTTGAGATCTGTAAACCATCCGGGAAGGTCCCCAACCTTGAATCTAAATTTGGCTATGTTTAGGATGAAATGACCTTTAATTAGAGTGCGATATTATTAAAATTTGGGACTATATCCCAAGTAATTTGAGGGTCTTATAATCAAAGATCTGCCCCGTATCTAATCTATTTTGGACACTGGGACCACAGTTCGTCCATCCTAACTATGTATGCAAGGTCTGGCACTTACCACCGGCCTGGATGGTGGAGCCAGCTAATACCACCTAATCGAATTAAAAAGAGAGATCTGGTCTTTTATGAAAGATGGAAGGGAGTTGTATTTAAAGGTTTTGCGAGAAGTTGGGGCAACATCTAGAGCATTTCCTAATTGGCCTTCAACTATGTTTGGTGCTAAAATGCTAAACTGGATGCAATTAAAATTTTGACTTCTTAAGTAGATGTTTCTAATGCATGTGTGCGGTGTCAACTTGTAAAATCTATGTCTGAAATTTTATAAAAACAGCTATATAAATAATTTTTTAGAAGACTGGACTTCCCCAGGTCGCACCTCGTCCTTCATAGTCAACATCGACTCTTCCCGCAGGCAGGGGAAGTGGTCTAAACAAGAAAGGTAATGCAAACAATATGCATGCGACCCGGGGTCGTCCCCGGCTAATCCTAGATTCGTTATCTTTCTATGTTTTAGACTCACCTAATGTTTAGACTTTTAAAATATGAGTAGAAAAACATTTCACACCCTCCGATCTCACGATCCAGTGCGAAAACAAAGAGCGAGCAAGCAATCGCCAAAAGACTTAGCTAAATAGACAAGTACTCCTAAGTCAATCAAATCAAGTCACATCAATAATACAAATTAATTAATAAGTCCATTAGGCATAAAATGTCCTTGCTTATTACAAACCAGAAATAATACAGAAAGTAAAGATGCCGTGCACCACTGACACAAGCCCGGATCTAAGCCTAAGTAATGACGCAAGTGTATTTTGATGTGTGAGATACTCTACAATCTTTCAAGTCTTCAAATCTTCAATTTCATTCTTCTTTGACTCTTTTCTTCAATCTTCTTGGAATCGTTCATTAGTGGAAATACCCCAAATGGACAAGAGGTCACTTCCCTCAAAGGGAAGGCCAACTCTTTCCTCTTTGGTTGGTAAGAATGAGTACTCTGATCAAATTTTAGATTTCCAAAATTGAAAAGTGTGCTCCTATAGAGGGGGTGCCAATTTCCTCTTTGAATCCAACTTTTGGAATCTATTTGTTATCCCAACTCAATAATAAACTATTTCAAACAACTTGACACTTGCACAATATTACAATTTGGATATTCAAAAAATAAAAAAATCTAGACCTCATCTCTCAGGTTATCCTAAGCAATTAATCATACTTAAAAAGCAATGATTCCCATATAGCAGTTGAATGAGCAAAAAAGAAGAAAGTAACACACTTTATCCCAAGCCACGCTCTTTGTTTATATTGGGGGCTTGCAGCTGTGAGCACCTGTTGCAAAGTTATATATTATGCATTTTTTTATTTTGTCCCCATTTTTTATATTCCCTTGCGCATAGAGCGTGGCACCTGCAGAAAAGCTGATTAGTCAGCAATCGCCCAGAGCGTCTTAGCCTAATCCTAAAGGGTAATCAGTCGCCAAACACATCGAATCCATTCCACAGAGTACGGAAATAAAGTAAGCAGACACGCAAAGACAAATTTTACATACACAACATGCAGTGAAAACTACAAACAAATCCATAGCACTCAACTGATACAAAGTAAGTAAACACTTGGCTCTCCTGATCTAGAGTTGGTTTCCTAGCACAGTCATCTACAAGTGTGTGAGAAATCAGGTCGTTGTGGCGTGGGGATGATCCTAATTAAGTGATTAGCTAATGGTAAACTCTAAAGAAATTTTGGATTTGTTAAGCTTAGAAGGGGCGGTTTTAATTAAAATTTACGAATATACCAGAATTTAATTTTTTAATTAGAAATATTTGTAGAAATTAATTGAATTACTACCTTTGTTTCACACCGCAGCCGTGCACAAGTTTTATCTCTACACTTCCTTGGGTCATAAGCTATTAGCCTCGTAGGCCTGGTGTACCCAGTAGTAATCGGGTTGATTAAATGTTATTTAAAATTGCGTTGAATTAAAAGAGCGTGGATTAATATAAAAGGGTGTTGCTGATCTTTAATGGAATTAGTGTGAGAATTTATTAGCCTAATTAAGAAAATTTTCTGAAATTTGGGAGAGTCTAATTATGTTTTGGAGTGTTAGTTCCGGCACACCGCTTCAACATAAGGGGGCGTCAAAATTTGCTTTTCAAATTAGAGCTTAATCTTAAAAGGTTTCAGCATTTTAAATAAATACTTAGGACCTTAATTAGAGTTGTTATACAGTGGTACATTCAATTTGGAGTATTTCTATTCAAAAAAGTTATGTTTTTAGAAGTTTAAGCCCCGATTTTGACCTAGAGTGCGACCTCAAAAATGTTGACTTTTAAAATTGCAGAATTTCTGGAAATTTATATTTTAATAATACTAGACAATCACTATGAGTTTAATGCAAGTGAGTTTTTACCGCAGGTGAATTTGGATTTTCAGGAGAATTAGTTATGAATTATTGATAGTGTTGGGCAGTTAATGAATTTTAGGAATTTCTTTAATTAGTAGAATCTCTTTTGTGATTTGGCTTCAAAACAAATTCCCAATCTTTGAAAACACCTCCAAAAGGGCAGAAATAACTAAGGTGGGAATCCCAAGTGTGGGAGATTTTGGTCTGATTTTTGAATTATTATATTAATTATGCTCAATTAAACATTTAAGTTTCAACTTAAAATTTAAATTGGGTGTTTAAATGCTGTCAAATCAAGGGATTTCAATTATCATAGTATTAAGGACTGACCATTTGGTCAGTTGAGGAGTTTATATGTAATGTTCGGATCTTTTAAATTGGATTTATGACCATTTTTAGAAGTTTAAAAGGCTTAATTAACAGCCTAAGACATTAGAAAATTAATATAGGACCCTAATCTCTTCAATACAAATCACCGTGGTTTGAAAAATTTCTCTAGAAGAAGACTTTTGAGGCGTTATGTCTGCACTAAGTTCAAGATGTTCCATATTTCAACTCAGGGAAAATAATCTAGCAATGTATGGAAAATTTTTTTCTAAGTTTCTTCAAAAAACATGAAGGTCCTTAATTATTGATGACAATCTAATTAGTCACTAATCTTTTGAATGGACTTGAATCAATGTTTAACTATACCCCTCATACTCAATACACAAGGCATGCGTATGAACCAACATAAACACATTTCAATTACCTAAATCTAGGAGAGCCGTAGACTAAGTGGTTTGTGCACCTAAGCATCAGATATTAACTTACATAGATTAAGACAAAATTAGTGAATTAAGTCAAGAAACATGATTATTCACTATCATCACCCTTGATTTCATTCAAACATTATGCACTAAAAATCAACATTTAAGATCTCAAATGACTTTCTTAAAGCACGTAAGATTTCACAATATATAGTTTAAATAATTATAAAATACATAATATAAAATGATATATATTATATATATATAAATAGGGTAAATATATATTTAATAAAATAATTATATAATATTTAAAATACAATTTCGAGGGTTGAAGGAATACCACCTGAATCCATTCCATAGAGTTTGAAAATAATACAAAGATTTTCCTTGATATTTTTTTAAATTTACTTAATTATTTATTAAATATTTAAAAAACCGGTTAAAAAAGCTCCAATAATTCAAAAATACCATCAATAATCGATCTATTTACATAAAGATTGAAAATTTTTCTGCGGTATGGGAGACCACCATGCCACTCAACAAACATGCATTCCAAAATTATCAGATAAAAATA